TGGGATTCAATTTTTTTTACTACTGGCTCTGTGGGTGTGGCTTGGTGGGTGTGGCAGGGGAAGGAGACTGTAAAATCTCCAGTCAGAGGCGGGATTTGCTGGTTCTCCAAACTACTCAAAATTCCCACTACCGATTCTCCAGAACTGGTCAGAACCTGCTGAATACCCCCTCTGGTGATTATCCCTATTGCATGGGCTTGTTCTGAAGTTTACCCACCATCTGCTCATTAAAGTTTTATTGGTTTGTTTCTTGATTAAATTTATATGCTGCCCATATCAAACAATTCTAGGCAATCAAACAGTTGGATCAATGGCGGATTAAGGCTCACTGTTGCCCTAAGCACTGACAAATCCTGGTGCCCCCCTCCTTTGTATATACTGTACAAATGAAGCCAAGCTTAGGCTACATAAAAGTTTTTGTGGTGTCCCCTTTGGGCATGGTGCCCTAAGCACGTTGTAATACACCACTGAGTTGGATCCACATCACCTAAGTTGCCTAAACAGCAGGGTCCATGGAATTGGGGAGGAGATGGCTAGAGCAGGTAAGTTCAGTTGGAAACTGTCAGCTTTTTAGTTCCCCAAAGCCAGTGTCCCTGGAATGGGAGTGCCCAAGGACCAGAGGGGAAGCCCAGGAGTGAGCAAGAGGTGCCAGGCTGATCCCACTTCCATATGGTCAATTGTTCATACAGCATCAGGCCACTGATGATTGATCACTGTTGATGATCCAAACTCTGTCAAGGATCTTGGAGTACTCATCTCTAATGATCTAAGTGCTAGAGCCCACTGTAACTACATAGCCAAAAAGGTGTTAAGAGTTGTTAACCTAATCTTACATAGCTTTTTCTCTGGTAATATTACACTACTAACTAGAGCATACAAAACATTTGCTAGACCAATACTTGAATACAGCTCATCAGTCTGGAACCCACATTCTGTATCTGATATTAACACAATTGAGAAAGTCCAGAAATATTTCACAAGAAGAGTTCTCCACTCCTCTACTTGTTGCAGAATACCTTATGCCACCAGACTTGAAATTCTAGACCTAGAAAACCTAGAACTACACCGCCTTTGGTCCAATCTAAGTATAGTATATAAAATCATACATTGCAATGTCCTACCTGTCAATGAATACTTCAGCTTCAACCATAACAATACAAGAGCAAACAATAGATACAAACTCAAGGTTAATCACACCAAACTTGATTGCAGAAAATACGACTTCATCAACAGAGTGGTCAATGTCTGGAATACTCTACCTGACTTTGTGGTTTCTTCCCCAAACCCCCAAAACTTTAACCTTAGATTGTCTACTATTGACCTCACCCCTTTCCTAAGAGGTCTGTAGGGGGCATGCATAAGCGCACCAACGTGCCTACCATCCCTGTCCTATTGTTTCTTTCATTTTTTAAATTTTTCTTGTATGTATCCATGTATTCATAACTATGTTTTTACTTATACCTATTATCTTGTAAGCAATTGACAAACCAAATAAATAAATAAATAAATAAACAAACAATCAAACAAACTGTTGGCTTCAGGGGAAAATGCCTCTAACTTTTGAGGGCTTCTGGTTTTGGCCTTCCCGAATACGGACTGCTGACCATGATTATCCGCGGCTTTGGTCCGTGCTTCTTCGTCTGAGAGCCCCGATTGGCTAGATCTGGGGCAGAAGCCACCTCTTAGGGGTGGCGGAGGAAGGGGAGGAAGGGGTGGTGGATCAGCTGGGTAGAGGGGGTCGCAAACCCCCTCCCTGGCTTGGCAAAGCTCCCTCCCAAAGATGTCTGAAGCGGTGGTCTAAATTGGCCACCCTGAAGGGGAAGAGTAAACTGGAATAAGATTGCGCAGGAGAGAGGAAGGAGTGGACAGCAGGAGAAACGGGATGTTATAATTAAATGAAAGGTACCCCAGGATTAATTTTTAAGAATTTTTTAAAAAGGCTTTAAATGATGAAGAGAAAGGAGGGGGGGAAAGGGTGTGAATTGTTTTTTGACAGCGGTGGGGCTTCGAACCGGAAAAAGTAGAAGCTGAAAGAAGAAATTATTTAACTAATTTGGATTAATTGGATTTGATTTTTTTGGGAAACTGTGGTTTAAAAAGCCCCGAATAGAGGGAGGGGGAAAGGGGGTGAAGATTTGTTATGGGAAAGAGTGCCATCTAATGGTTAAAGTTAATTTGTTTTGTTACTAAAAGATTCTGCTTCTAAAAAATCTTAAGGTACATTGATACAATTTAACAAGATCTTTGAAAAATTATAACTTTGAAACAAAGAGAAAAGCAGGAAGATTCTGCCCTAGGATTAATAGTTGATTTTGGCTGGACTTGGATTTGGACTAGTTATGACCTTAAAATTTGAGAGGAATAAAACAAAAGCTGACTGTTGGAAACTAACCTCATAGACACTGTTTAGATTAAATTACTAGATAAAAACATGTAAAATGGCGATAACTTTTGGAATTAAAAATGGAACTCAGAAACATGAAAGAAATATTACAAGGATGAGGTGAATCGCTGGTTTATACTTTAAAATTCTTGGAAAACGAGATTTTAGAATATGAACAACAAAGACAAAAGATGGAAGATGAGGTGGAGCTGACTACAGAAGAGGCCATTTTTAATTATAATCAGGAACAAAGAACTCTGAAAAGAAGGAGGAGAAGAGTGGGAAATAAAAATATGAGATGTAAGAAGTTAAATAAAAAGGAATATTTGTAAAATTAAAAAAGGTAAACAGAAACAGCAGAAAATTGAAGGGTGGAAGGAAGCTATAAATAAGGAGGGGGATAAAAACTGGAGTGGCAGAAAAAAGGGAGGAATGAAAGGGAAAAGATGGGATAAGAAGCAGGATTTGGAAACAAAGAAATATGGGAATTGTAAAAAAATTAAAAGGAATTGTTTATTTAGAATGCATAAAGACAATGGCTAATTAATATTTTAAAAGGGGATTCTGCAAGGTGAGGAGGGGTAGTTTAAATATACTTAAAGTTATGAATATTGAAATTGTAAATAATTATTATGAATTTAAGAAGGGGAAAAACCATGCAGAATCTGATTTATATTTGTTATGTAGTTTTAAAAGGATTATTAATTTTAACTTTCTAGGTAATAAAGGTTAAATATTCATTGAGATTAAAAGGGGAGATTAGTGAATATATAAATTTTAGAGGTGGAACACTTAAAATTGGTAATTTAAGGGGGAAATTAATTTTATAGAATGATTGTTTTAAATTAGATTTTATGAATGGATGTAATAAGAATATGTGATGAAATATGCAAATATGACAATTAAAAGTATTAAAGTATAACAATTATGACGATATGTGAAATATAGGTGAATTAAATAAAGAGGCAAGCATTTGGAATCATATAATAAAGTAGAAACTGTATAAAAGTATTGATAGGATAAGAAGTTGAATATAAAAATTGAATATGTAATTATGGTCATATTTGTAAGTAAAGATGAACTTGTAATCACGCTGTTCACTAAAAAGAGATGTTTTTAAAATGTGAAAAACTGAAATAAAACTTGTTTAAAAGAAAAAAGAAAATGCCTCTAACTTTGGAGAACTAAGCACAACTATCTTAACTATGGGTGAGGAGGAGTTGAAGATGATACCACAAGGACATGGCAGAAAAGAATTTGCCAGGTGCAAGCATGGGAAGGGCTTACATATATTGCTCAAGTCTAGGGAAGACTTGAAGACTTAATACCTGTTAAAAATACACTGAAAGTGATTTATGAATCATTTGAAGTTCTAGAAATGCTTCTGTCACAAACAGTGTGACATATGACAGCATATAATACCACAGAGGATTAATGGCATAAATTTAAAAGACAAGGGATGGATGATTCAATTTTATCAATAAATCAACAATATCTTAGAGGCCTACCTTGTTTGCACAGAATGAACAAGTTTTGGAATGTTCTAAAGATCAAACTTTCAGCATTCTACGCAGGGGCAGAAGTGGAGTCGAAAGTTAAGATGAGGGATGTTACTCTGCAGTCAGAGTCCTACCCATTTTTTGTGACTGTGGTGCTCTTCCAAGGGTATAATTTTTCATTGTATCATTAATTTCCCTCAGACCTCCTAACACTTTTCTACAGCAGATATCTTATAGTTGGACTTTTCAAGGAGATAATCCCAATCTACATAAAATGAACTGTCTCCACTAATGCTTTTGATCTATAAGTTTAATGAACCCAAAATAAGGAAACACTCTCAGGAGCCTTGAATTCCTAAAAGTAAAACTTTAGTAGATGGACCATATTGGTACCAAAGAAACAAAACCAGCTCTGGTTTTCCCATGTAAATGCTTGCCTAGTTAAACAATAGCTTCCTCTTCTCTCCATCCCTGGGGTGTGTGTGTCACACTGTCCAATTATGAGACATCTTTTTGTTATGGGAACAGTCCATCTCTTTCTCCAGCACCTGCAGTGGTGACCTTGACAAGCTCTCACGATCTCTGCATACAGCAGCATCCTCCATTTCCCCCTTGCCTTCCTTGAGTTCATTGGCAAGTTGAAAAGCATGACGGTTTGAAAGAAGCAAAGCAGTTCAATCTTGACAGAATGATGAAATGAAGCATTTTTCTTGTAGTTTTTGCAAAGAGTCTGCAAGTGGTCCAGAGACTCCAACTTAACATTCCGCAAATCTCTTCTTAGAATATGGTGGTTCATATTCCTCATGGCACAATCACCTTATTCTGAAAAAAGCATCTGAGAGAAATTGAGATGCATCCCTAGGATGACTGCTTAAAGGAAATTTATTATGGCTGTTGATATTGATATGTCAACTTTGCTTTGCTTTCATCGTAGTTTGTTAAATAGTAGCTTGCAAACCACAATAGCTGGAGATACTTTGCTACAGGCACAGCCTGGGCTTTGCCACTTGTTCTCTCCTCTGCCTTTCCCTTGGATTCCTGGGGTACAGGGTGACAGGCCTAAAACATCCCATCCAATTGCCAAATCGTTTCACATTTCATAATCATTGGGCGTGGCTGCCTTTTTAAGTGAAATTGGAGGTGGAGATCACATCCTGATTTCATTTGTGCAAAGCAGAATGCCCAGATTTTATTTCCGTCAGCCAAACGCATAAAGAGGTAGCAGAGGTATGTCCCATGCTTGAACTATTTCTTTTTTGCTTTTTATTCTCTGTGTTCTGGGAATGGAAAGGATGCCGTTTGCTTGAGAGAACATTTGGCTTCATTGTTTGGGACTAAGCAAGTCTCAGCTCTCAGTTCAGTTCCAGCCTACTGAGAGCCCTTTCATTTTAACCTGGGAATTAGAGTTTAAATAAGAAACAGGCACTCCCAATATTAATTAAAATTTGGATGGATTTGCATATAGAATTGTGATTTCTTTAAGAGAAGCAAAAGACACACATAATTTATAAAGTACTAGTGCTTTGCAAGTTGTGGTTATCTGTATTTTTATTTCTGGTCAATTTATCAGTTGTATGACAGTTCTAACAAATTTCCTGTTGTTTATGAATAATGAGTACATATTCATTTGAAGTTTTCAGAAGAACTAAAAGGAGAACAGAAAAGAACAGATTGTCTGGAGTTGAATTAATGCATAAAGTGTTTAATTCCATATGGATTGAAGAAGTTTTATAGAATAAATGATAGTTTAATCTTTCCCACAAGGAAATACAGTACATGTAGGTTTATTGGCAAAGTAGCAAAGTTCCATTCCCCTTAAGCACTGGGTTGGGCTGCGTTCCTCAGATTATTCAAGGTGCTAGAAGTAAATAAAAAAATCTCTGGATTGTGGGCAGATTGATTTTCTCTCATCCAATAAAGGAAGATTTGAAAAATTTGTAACTTCTTGCTAGAATGTTTTTCCAAAATCTGGATGATGCAGCATTTCTACCAAGAGCAATGTACCAACCTGCTTCATCATGTTTTTAATTCCTAGAATTTATGTAGTCAAATTGTGGTAAATACCAGTGCTGGGTCCTTCAGGATATCTGTGACACATTTCCTCCATTTGACACTGGAGATATGAGTGAGATATTCTGGCTCAGAAATAGAGATGCTAAAATTTGAATAGTTAATTGCTTGAATGTGATTTGATGTCTCAAAATTTGTCCTGGATGGCAGATCTTTCACTGAAATATTACGGTTACAGCTAGGGATTTGTAGAAGAGCTGTTTAATGTAAAACAGATGTAATTAAATGAAATACACATTTATTAAATTTGTATGCTACTTGGCTCCTAACAATTCTGGATGACTCATAAAGTAAATGCAATAACAAAGGTAAATAACAAATCAAAGATGGCAAAGATGACAAGAACTGGATAGAAATGAAAAAAGGAAAAACCCACCCAATCCAAGGGGCTCACCAAAGGCCTGCAGAAAGAGCCAAGTCACCAGAAGGTTGGACGGCATCCAGACCTTGGGTTGGAACCTCCTTCCAGAGGACAGGGGTTGCTATCAATTTCCAGTGTGTGTTTTTTTATTCTTACTTGAGTCCAAAATTTTGCACCACAGCGCTGATATTTGTCCATCTGTACATTTTGACCTTTAAAATTTCTTATCTGCAAAATAAATATTTTTAATTTTTCAGCATATAGGTGGAAAGATAAATTGGGACAAAACAGAAGCATAGTCAAACATTTATCTGAATAAGCAGTATAAGCACAAGCCAAGAAAAATGTTTTCCTGATGAGTCATTTAAACCTTCTCCTATCTTCAGGGACAGACTGAGAGTTAATTTGTTAAATTTTCTTTGTAGGCGTCATCCAAACTCATATACATTGTCAAAACACGGAGGTCTGTATGGAGGACATAAAGTTCATTGATTATAGGAGATTATAGGCATGACAGAGCCTGGGGTGAGGTCAAATTTGGGATCAATCTAGAATCTCTACGTAGCCATAAATTTACTAAGTCCAGCCCACAATGAATTTCATTGACCCTTATCTCACGTCTAGGAGGTGTAGTTTCATGATCAATCTGCTCCAAAGAGCATCAGCAGCATCTGGCCAGATTTAAACCAAGCAGGGAAACTAAAAGATAATTATTACTGACGATAAATTTATTTCTTTGTTTGCTTTTCTGGAATGAATGCATATATTTACCTACAAAGAAAGATCTGTTTGGAATAATGCCAGAATCAACCAGAATGCTTTGCTATCTTTTTATGGCTGGTGAGTATAATTATGTATGACTGCTATAAAATTATCATTAAATGCTTCCATAGCTGCCCCGTGAAAGTCTAATCCAGATTCTATTTTCTGATTTAGCATCTTCTCCACTGAGATATGCGCATGCTAATGTTGATTATGCATCCTAGAAACAGGGGTTTCTAACCTTTTCCCCATTACATCTCCCTTTAACACCATGCCTAAAAACACAAAATGAACACAAATGAACAATGAAAATGCAATGAAACTTTAGGGAAAGTGGATTTATTATAAATGTGTACAGCTAAAAGATTCTCCAGATTTTGTCTGCAGCTCCCCAAAGGAGCTCCTCCTCCTCATTTGGGAAACCTACTCTAGAGGAAAGGAAACTTTTATTCATGCTTTGTGTCTTCCAAGTAAATACTGAACACAAAATGTTATCAGAAAACAAGAGCTACATATTTAAGCTACAGGTTTTGTTTATTATAATTTAAAATTGGTACAGCAAACAATACTCCACTTAATTGGCTTTGCAGAGAAAGGCAATCTTACTATACTTTCTCAATAAAACATCTTTAAGATAAAACCCATTTCTTATATTTTAGGTTGTGCAATAATGCTCACTCCTAGTGGTGCACTGGAATCCCTGGTAAGTACTGTATTTCTGTTCAGCACTTATATTGCCAACAGACTTCTATATTTCTCTGGAATCTGATTAGGATTCTTGATCTCTGGAATCAGAGAACCAAAGTGTGAGGTATTTGACTGTGCTTCTTTATTTATTTAAATTATGTATATGGGTGCCCATCTTAAACAGCTCTGAACAGCTCAGAACAACAATAAAACTAGAGAAACAATCAGACAAAAATTACTCTTAAACATTCCCTTAGGATGCCTCTCAGGAAGCTCTATTATCCTCATTCCATTTTTCCCATCCCATCCCATCCCTTTAGTACAAATCTTGATGTCTATGGAGCTTTCCAATCATCCAGGCCATGGTTGTCCCAAAAGTGCTTTACCAAAAGGCAACTGGACTTTCTTGGTTTTTCCTTGCAGACGTTTCACTTCACATCTAAGAAGCTTCTTCAAAAGAAACTTCTTGGATGAGAAGCAAAACATTTCCAAGGAAAAACCCAAGAAAGTCGTTGCCTTTTGGTAAAGCAGCTTTGGACAGGTCTTGATGGTCTCCTGAAAGGGTAGGGACCTGCCCCATTGCTGGGCAGAAGGTGTTGTAAAAAGTAGGGGCATCCACAGAAAAGGCACACTTCCAAGGTTCCATTAATTGGCAAGATTTCAGGGAAGGGATCTGGAATGCACCTACCCTTTCTGACCTACTAAACAAGTGGATACTCTTAGGGAGAGGCAGTCTCACAAATAACTAGGACCTCTGCCATTCAGGACTGTAAATGTGATAACCAGTTCCTTGAATGGAACCCGAAAGGAAACTAGGAGACAGTGCAGTTCACACAATAGAGATATAACATGGGCATTCTGCTGCATTCTGGACCAGGTCCCTAACATAGATGGCTGAGCTCCCAGTCACAAAGATTCTGTTCAGGTCCTCAGGATCAGCTGGCTCAAACTCCTTACAGATAACAGGGCTTAGACATGTCACAGTCACTTGCAAAAGATCAGCCAGGCAGAGTCCTACTTCAAGCAAAGTCTACTATAAATAGATTCCACTATTCCACATCATTATTTCTAGAATAATACAACAGTTTGGGGTTCCATAAACTTCAAATGTTATTAAATAATTTATTATTAGGAAAATCTCCCTGTGATTAAACAGAATTAGGCTTGTCCATGTTTTCATGCTATGATAGAATAGAATAGAATAGAATAGAATAGAATAGAATAGAATAGAATATAATAGAATAGAATAGAATAGAATAGAATAGAATACTTTATTGGCCAAGTGTGATTTGGCCAAGGAATTTGTCTTGGTGTAAATACTCTCAGTATACATAAAGAAAAGATACATTTGTTAAGAATCATGATATGGAAGTGGTTGTTTTTGCTTTTTTCTGAGATATATTTAAGTTTTCTTGTCCTGACTATTAAACTAGTCTTCCTTCCTTCCTTTCTAGATTAGCCATTCCACACACGTTTTTTTGACAACATTCCAGAATTGGCTTGCCACTGTCACTGTTTTCTTCAGGGATGTGTAACTCTCAATACTAGAGTTCTTGGTAGTTTCCCATTCAAAGAATAGCTTTCTAATACTGGTATTTCTTAGAAATCCATTTCTTCTGTCATGAGCAAAATATCAGGTCCACACATGAAAGTCCAATTAAACTGATTTATTGTTACTCATGCCTATGTACTGAAGTAACAGTAGTATTCTGAAGTAACAGTAATATTCTGAAGTAACAGTTAGCATCTGTTAGGAGTTAGATAAGAGTCAACAGAAATTCAAGTGGGTGAGTGAGTGGGTGGGTTGGACTTGGTCCACTTGTGGCTAAATATGGATTCCAGACCACTCTCTCTTTTAATTCCACCCCCAGGTTCTGCCACTCATTCTCCTACATCTTCTGAGCATCCATGGTTCTGTGCATTTCTAACTACCATAGATAGCACCATGTACTATCTATCTTACATGTGAGATTCTTCTGAGAGCCCTGCATATTTCATTTGTAAGTGAGGAGAGGCAACCCAGGGATTTATGTGTCATTCTAAGTGTCCCAACTGGGTCTGCCTCACTTGTGAAGTTGAAGAGAGATGGGTATGGGGGCACAGGGACTTTGCTTAAAACAATCACTCCCCCAGTCCTCTTCCCCTAAACAAAAGCAAAAGTGAACAATCCAAATGTTTTGTTTCCAGTGTTTTAATTGGCCATATTCAAAATGAGAGCCATTCCATGAGAACAGTTGCCACAGGCTCTCAATAGTCTAGATAGGCTAGACTATAACTGAAAAAGGAAATTTTCTGCAAACTCTACTAATCAAAGTCAATTGGCTACAATTAAATAAGAATTTAATAAGAATAGAGGCCAGCCTTAGAACTGCTCAAAAAGATTGGTTGATCCTGCCTTACACCCATGACTGTGCATTGCTAAGCCTACAAAATTTAATTGATAGATTAATCAGCTAAAATTTATTTGATATTAGCCAACTATTACTAATGAGGAACAATTTAATTGATGAGACAGAAAGTGGAAGAATTTTTTGGGCCTGGTCTTACTTCAAACAGTTGCTCAGATCTATTAATTATTAAATTAATTTGTTTTTCACCATCTCAAAATAATACCTACATTATTCTTACAGGAAATTGAATTAACTGAATTAATTAATTAAATTGAAATTGTTTTATTTAATTATTGTCCATGTTTTATTTTCTTCTAATTTTGGGTTAAAAATAATTAGAATACATCTGTCATGGTGATCAGCAAAGAAGAGGCCATAATTTCAAACCACTCTGTCTGTGGGATGTCTCGAGATTCTATTGCAGCAACTGGTGAAAAATTGCTAAAACAATTAAGTCAGTGCCAGAACCTGACTGCACATCAAATTAAAGCAATTCGACAAATCTTCAGCAGTGGAAATACTTCATTTGGGTAGGACTTGTTTTTAGTTTGGGACAGTTTTCTGAAAAGAGATTATTTGTTACCTATTTTGGCTGGCCTTGGAATTACGCCTCCTTTTTGTGTATGTAAGTGAATGTCAATTACACCATTGCCTTGTCAGTATGGTCCAAAGTTACTAAAACTATAAGTTTGCACACCAAAAGTTCCAGTACATTATTTCTTTCCTTCTTTGGTGTTCTTACTCACCTCTTGGCTTTTGTCTCTCTCTGACTAAGAGGCCTGGCCCCAGACTATCTGTTTTAAGACAATACTGACACACAGCATTGTTTGGAAAATGTTTAAGTGTTTTGCCCGAGTCTTTGTTTGGCACTGCCTGGAAATGCCAGAGGTTGTCTTTGAACTCTAAATAGAATACCTGCTGTACAAAAAATGATGAATCTTGAACTTCTAGTAGTATTTTTTTAAAGATGCTCAGGTGGCTGGGTGGATACATTTTTGTTGCTTTGTTGCTACTTTGCATTGTTCTATATGCATTTTTTCAACTTTCAATTGGCTTAAGGCCCTTAGGTTTCCTAGTGGATTTCTATTCAAGGACACCCAAGCTTAACAGAGGCACCTTTTAAAAGTCTTAGCTAAGGTTGAATAAATGCTGCCATCTTTTGTGGTATGATGGAAATTGCAGATTTTCAAATGTGAACTGTGTGGCATATTGTAGTAAATGAACCATTGTAAATGTTTCATTTAACATCAAATCATCATAAATATTCTGTACAACTATTCTTCTGCTATACCTTAGTACTTAATATCTTAGTAAGTTAATGCTAACCTGTTTAGCAATTTAACAATTCTTTTAAACTTCCTTTCAATTATGTCTGATTCTCAGAGACTGCCTGGAGAAGGCCCTAAATTTTCTACATTAGTTTATTCAGAAGTAGTTTGCCAACGCAATCTTTAGAATCTGCCAGGAGAGAGTCACAAAAGCCAAGGCCCAGAATCAGCTAAGACTGGCAACTAATGCCAAAAATAACCCAAAACATTTATTTCAATATGTAAGGAACTAGAATAAAGTCAAGGAAGCAATAGGTCCACTAATGTAAGCAAGCAAGATACACAGGGAGAAAGCAGAACTTCTTTGCATCTGTTTTTATGCAAAAGGACAAAATAGCCCAACCTATCAAAAGCAGCACTAAGGGAGATAGAACAGGTACACAAGTCAAAATAAGCAAGGGCATGGTATGAGTGCAAATCACTAGACCAGACGGTTTGCAACCCAGGGCTCTGACAGACATAATCTTGGATCCACTCAGGGGTGGGATTCAAATTTTTTAACACCCAGTTCTGTGGCCTAGTTGGTGCATGTGGCTTGGTTGTCATGTGATTGGGTGGGCATGGCCAATTTGACATCACTCACATCAAGCGGCGCTTCTCCTCACCTGGCTTCTCTTGACTGTGGGAATGCTGCAATGGCCATAAGTGTGAAAAATGGTCATAAGTCACTTTTTTCAGTGCCATTGTAACTTTGAATGATCCCTAAATGAACTGTTCTAAGTCAATGATTGCCTGGACAAAAATACAAAAAGCAGATTCTTTGCTTGTAAAAAGCTGCCTTAAATACCAATCATTAGATTAAAAAGACCTTGAGGAATCAAAATAGTTAAAATGCAATGATAACTATCAACAACCAACCCTTGCTCATAAAGTGAAACACTTTAGCAAAGAGGTCATTTAAGCTCTCCAGAAAGAGCACACCCAGGAGAAACAATCCTTAGATCCATTTGCACCACTTAAAGACACCAACTGGTCTCACTCACCTTACAAGATATGCTAAGGAAATCATCCAGATTTAAGGAAAGATCAAATGCTCCCCAGAAAGGCAGTAAAAAAATCAGTGCCAAGCTTGAATCCTGCCTCTTGGAAGTACACCCCAAAAGGACAGTGCCAGATACCACTAAAGCAGTGAAGGAAGACCCCCTCCCCAGATAAAAAAAGAAACCATGAGGCAAGAAAAAATTCAAACACAATACAAATAATTAAATCACAACAGTAGCTGTTGCTTGTTAAACCAATTACCAGAACAAATAGACACAGGAACTAGCCAGATTTCTCAACCCAATTTCTTTTCAGGAACAGAAATTAACCTTTTTCCTTCTAAACAAAGCTGAATAGAGAAAATTATCCCATCAATAAACATAGGATTAAACATCACCAAGCTCAGAATTAAACTTTGCTAAAAACCAGTTTTAGACCAAAACTCAGAAAGGTTATGTAAACTCACGTTTGAATGTCAATCTTTCTAACTAGCCAAGAAGTCTTGCTGAATGTCACTCATCTTGGTTCCTTGTCATTAAAAGCTTCTTTCCGGCAGCTCTGCTTCATTATTCAATTATTTCTTCAAAGTGCTGATTGTCCAGGGCAGTATTTCCTCCCAACAGCAGTGTAAAAAGCTTAAAACAACCCTTCCTCTTTAAGAAAGTCAAGCCCCAGAAGCTCCAGAGACAGGAAGTCTAGGTGTACTGACAAGAATGTAATAAGGGTTAACGGAGGCAGTTTCTGTAAGCAACAACACTAGAATGTTTCCTTCCTGCCTTCCTTACAGGATTAGTCCTATAAAATGGAAAAAAACAAACAAAAGGAGATTTCTTCCAACAACCAATTCTGATTAGAAAATTAACAACAAGTTCTAGTGAATAGGTGAGAACTGGTAGAATCCCACCTCTGGAACCACTGAATGTAATCTTTCAAAGCTCTTGTAGCACAGGGGAACTACCAGAGGACTGGAAAACAACTGATGTGGTACAAATCTTCAAAAAGGGAAAAATGGATCCAGGAAATTATAGGTCAATCAGATTGACTTCAATGATTCAAAATTCTGAAAAAGGTAATGAAGAGGATTTGTCAGCACCTAGAAATGAACAAGGTGATTACTAGAAACTAGCATGAGTTTGTTAAAAATATATCATGCCAAACAAACCTTTTATTTTTCTTTGATAAATTGACCAAATTACTAAACCAGTAAAAGGTTATCTCTTGGGCCCAGTAATCTTCAACATCTTCAGAAATGATCTAGATGAGGAGATAGAAAGGGATTCATGAAATTTGCAGATGACATCAAGTTGAGAGAAATTGCTAACACTTTTGAAAGCTAGGCTCAAGATTCAGAAGGATTTTGACAGACTTTAGCATTGGGTTCTGTCTAACAAGATGCAGTTCAGCAGTGAGTATTCTACAGTATGTTCAATTGCCTCCTACCTAGGACTGAGAGAAAGTGATTGGTCCAAGGTCTCACCCAGCTGACTTTGGGCTTGAGACAGTACTAGAACTCCCATCCTCCAGTTTCTAGCTTGATACCTTCACTATTGCTATACACTAGACTGGCTTTCTTTGTTTTGGTATTGCACAAATTCAGCCTGCTTAGTCAGACTTTAGTTCAATGCCCTTGAAAAGCCCAATCTGGGTTCATTTCATAATCTTGTTAGTTGTGTTTGGGGAATGCTACCGAATGAACTTGCTATTTCATTCAGACATGGCTTGTTAATATCACTTTTCTCCTAGGCCTCCTTCTACATGGACATCTTCTGTTCTGGATCAACTGAGTCAACTGATCCTAATCCTGGATCACAGTATTCTGCAAAGTATTCCTAAGGTACGTTAGAAAAAAACCAAACAGAAGAATGATCACTTTTCCACCAGGAGAAAGGAAGTAAAAAACAAACAAACCCAAAATGAGCCTAGAGGTAGAATCAGGTATCTATGACTGAGCTACAAATCTGATCATCTTTTGAATCTGAATTGCACCATTTTCAATAGAAAACTATGAATGTCAACTTCAAGGAAAGATCTTTTGTCACAGGCTGACAAATGATAAACCAGCAATCTCAAAATTAATAGTATTAAAATTAGAATTAGAAATAAAATTTAATTGAAACTTCCGGTGGCAAGGCAAGGACGAGCAGAGGTGCAGAAGCCCGTTCGCGGTTTCAGCTAATCTCTTCTTGTGGTTGGCATGATCCTTTGAGGGTGCTCGAGTCCCGGAGAGATTTGTGCCGGTGTGGGGAAGCCTCGGGCTGCAGTGTGGGGAAGGCAACCCCCCTGCAGCGAAGAGGAAGCCCTCCAGAGCCCAACAAGCAAGAACAGCCTCCTATTAATGGTGGCTCCAAAGTCCGGACTGCCACCGATGTAAAGAAACGAGTGAGTGACAGTTTGTGAGATTGTTTGGGAAGAGAGTGGTAGAGAAAAATAGCGGTGGAGAGGAGGATTGGAAAGTTACAGACTGGTATTAGGCTGTTATAAGTGTTACAAGTGTCTGTCTGGAGCCCTAAAAGAAAGTGGCTAAAAGCGAAGCCGAGACAAGTGGGCTCGGCAGACAGAAGAGAAAGTGAGAACAATAACGAATAAAAAGGGAAATCTATGAGATTGGGAGACCAGCACCTGGAAAGAGCCTGGAAGTCGCAGAGGGTTCAGACTATTTCATTTGATTTCTATTTGGACAGACTTTATTAAACCGGAGATGGGAAGAAGACCAAAGTTGACGGAAAAAAAGACAGCGTGACGCCATAGGCGGTACTTAGAAACGCTGAAGCGGTTGTAACAATATAACTGATTTAACTGATACAAACTACTTAACAGAATCTGGGAGAATACTGATCTATCTGAGGAGGCAGTTTTTTTTTTTAAGAAAACCAGGACAATTGAACTTAGGAACGTTAAGATAGAAAGCAAAATTGGAAGCTTCTGAATGAGTGGGGATACCGCGTAACTGTAGTTATTATTCAGCATTTTCCCCCCCACTTCCGGTGTGTTTGAAGTGAAAGCTCTTAAATTAAGAGACGGAAAACCAAAATCCTACCTCTAGATTTCCCTCCTTTCTTTTCCATTTACTCCCCTTTTTTCTTGTATATATCTGATCTTTTTTTTTTTCTTCTGCCTTCTTTTTTACTAGTTGGCGTTAGGATGAATCATCTCTCTTTCTTTATTCTCTCTTTATAATGATTATAAATATGCATACTGAGTAAATGAATATTGATTGTTGTATCAGAATGTTAAATAATTGAATTAATTGACTTATTAATAACAGAGATTGTTATATTTTGACCAGATATATAGGGAAATAGTAAGAACATTAAGCATTAGTTAACTAATAAGTATAGAGTTCTATATATTAATATTACAATTTATTGTGTGACAATAATTACGAATGTAATATCTGTGTTCAAGAATATTTAACATTTAAGATAAAATTACATACATATAGATTTATATAAATATATATATATATAAATACATATAGATTTATAATATTTAGATATAGTTGGATTTGATATAATATTTATTACATAAATATTTATTACATGGTGAAGTATAGAGGTGGAACACAGATCATATAAATTATATATTTGATTTAGAATCAGGATCTAAAATAAAATATACATCCCAGTAACTAGTTAAGAATACAGCTACCCAGTAGACAGATAGATCAAGTAATTAGATACTGGTCAATTTTAACATAGAAATTATATCACTGAATGCTAATTTGGGATAATATACTTAACATAGTTCAACAACAAAAACAAATCTTAAAGGAAATGACTTCCACAACTACTACAGCTCTGAAAACTGGAAGGAAGGTCAACCCAACACTAACAACTACCTTGGCAACAACTTCACCTATGGCACAAAAAAACATAGAAGAAACATTACCAGTAGAGAAACAAGCCAACATATCGAATGCCAACATCCAAGCAATGTTTTTGACCTTACAGGAATTGATGACGAAGCTGCAAGAAACAATGATGAAAACCCATAACGAGACGAGAGCAGACATTAATGAACTAAAAGAGGAGATGGCGAAATTAAAGGCAGAAATGAAAGCGGACATCTTCAAAGTAGAGGACAAAGTTGGAATATTGCAGCAGGCCTTGGAGAAAAATGAAGCAACAATAAAAGAGGTAGAGAAAAGGACTGAACAAATGGAAAGGAAATTAGAAAGGATAGATGAAGAACTAAAGAATGCAAGTAAAGAAATGGAGGACTCACTGGTTCTCCTAGAGATGGACAAGGCAGCTACATACCTGAGATTCCAAAATGTGGTGGAATCCAGAGAAGAAGACTTGGAACATCTAATGGCGGAAATACTGGCTGGATTATTGGAGAAGGACAAAGATGACATCCTAAGGGAGTTTGACGAAGTTTATAGGGTCAGTACCAACTATGCGAGACGCCACAAATGTCCAAGAGAAGTCCATATATGATTCACGAGAAGAAGTATCCGGGATATTATTTATAATAATAAATGTCTAGAGAGGGAACAATCACGTATAAAGGTAAAGAAATCATGATTCTCAAACAGATACCAAGAAGAGTAAGAGAACAAAGGCAAGATTACAAGTTTCTAGCAGCTTATTTAAACCAGAAAAGAATTACATTCAAATTTCTTATCCCAGAAGGGATGTTAGTGTCTTGGAAAGAAAGGAAAATTAAAATAGATTCCATGGAAAAGGCCCAGGACTTCTATGAATGGCTGGTGGGTCTGGAAGACCAGAGCAGTAAGGAGGAATTGGAAACAAACTCCCAGGAAGATCATGGTGGTTACAAAAATAAAGGTGGAATTGCAGAAAACCAAGGAAATACTCATTTACATCAGGAGACAGAAGAAACTACACACCTTCAGACACAAGGAGAGATCGGTGTTGTTACAAGACAAAGAGTGAAACAGAATTAATTAAATGGAAGAAGAAAAAAATTACTATCAATTAATATAAATGGTTTAAATTCAACGATAAAGAGGAAAAGGATACTAGCTAAATTAACCAAACAAAATGCCGATATAACATGCCTACAAGAAACTCATATAAAGAAAACAGATGAAAAACACTTAGAATGCCTGAAATTAGGGAAGCTATTTACCGCACCAGCAGACATGGGAAAAAAGAAAGGGATTGCTGTATATGTTAAAGAAAACTTGAAAGCAGAGTTAATATGGTCAGATTCTGAGGGAAGAACTCTGGGTTTGCAGATCTGGATCAATGCCATCCCAATTCTCTTAGTGGTAATCTATGCCCCGAATGGAGATCAAAAAGAGTTTTTTAAACATCTGTATGGAAAAATGGTAGGACTGGAAAAAAGAAATATTTGTATCATAGGAGATTTCAACTCTATTGCTGACTATCAAAAAGACCATAGTAACGGGGGGAAGAATAAAGTGGGGAAAAGAGAGCTTCCTAAGATTTGTAGGTAAATGATGAAGGAGTTAAACTTGATTGATATATGGAGAAGATTACACCCCGAGAAAAAACAATTCACATTCTATTCAAATCCCCATCAAATATGGACACGGATTGACATGGCATGGATGAACAGGGAAATAGCAAATGAGATAAAAGAGATGGAAATTTTACCTAATGAATGGGCAGATCATAATCCAATTCAGATAATATGGAAGGGTAGGGCAAAACCAAAGAAAAGATGGATGTTAAATACCCAATTAATAAGAGAAAAAGAATATATCAACAAACTTAAGGAGGAATTAAATTATTTTTTAAAGGAAAATGATAATGGAGAAACCACGAAACAAAACATTTGGGATACAATGAAGGCAGCAATAAGAGGTATAACAATCTCTTATAATGCCAAGAGAAATAAGGAAAAATACGCCCAACAAAACAAATTACAGCAAAGAATTAAGGAACTAGAAACTCAATTACAGAGTACACCAAAGGATTCAAAATTGCAAAAACAGATAATGATAGCTAAACATAAATTGAATTTAATTGAACAAGAGAAAATGATTATGAATTTGAATTTGACTAGACAAACTTATTTCGAGCATGCTAATAAGCAGGAAGATGGCTATCTTATAAACTAAAAAAAAGGAAAGAAAAGAGATTGATATATCAGCTAATAGACAGTAAGGGATACATCAGGAGATAGAACAGAAAAAAGAAATTGCCCATAAGTATTTTGAAGATTTATATAAAAAGGAAGATGTTAATGAGGATAGAATAAGAAACTATTTAGATGAAGTGAAGGACAAAGCAATTGGGGAAGAAATGGTTGAACTATTAAACAAAGACATTACTTGGTCGGAATTGAAATCAGCAATAGAGAACCAGAAAAACAACAAAACCCCGGGCCCAGATGGGATCCCAGGGGAGTTGTACAAGGCAATTGCAGAATAAATTGGACCTCTTATGGTAGAAGTTTTTAACGATGTTTTATTGGCAGCCAGGATGCCGGACTCATGGAGGGGGGCATTGATTTCGCTGATCCCGAAGGAGGATACGGATCCCAGATATATAAACAATTATAGGCCGATCTCACTGTTAAACACCGACTATAAAATATTCACCTCTATTATAGCAAGCAAATTAAAAAGAATGTTAAATGTGCATGTAAATGAAGACCAAAATGGATTTCTCCTGACCAGACAAATCAGGAACAATTTAAGAACAGTACTAGATGTCCTAGAATTTTATGAAGCTCACCCCGAGAAACAAATTGCACTTATGTTTTTAGATGCAGAGAAGGCCTTTGACAATTTAAATTGGCAATTTTTAATCCCAAAAATTTACAATTTAAACCTAGGCACCAAATTTGAAAATATTATAACTATTTACAACACACAACAAGCTAATATTATAATAAACAGGGAATATACTCGCCCAATAAAAATAGAAAAAGGAGTTAGACAGGGCTGCCCACTCTCACCCCTGCTCTTCATATTAACATTAGAAACATTATTAACACGAATTAGACAGAACCCAGATATAAAAGGATTAAAGGTCAAAAAAGAAGAATATAAATTGCAAGCGTTTGCGGACGATATTATCTTTTTTATGGAGGAACCAATAGATAGAGGACAAAAATTGATGAATGAATTAGGACAATTTGGAGCAGTAGCAGGACTCAAAATTAATAGGAAGAAAACCAAATTAATGACTAAAAATTTAACAGAAAAACAGAAAATACAGTTAGAAGAAGTTATTGAAATTACAAGTGACAAAGAAAGTTAAATACTTAGGAATATGGTTGACAGCACATTGCAAGACACTCAAAGAAAATAACTATGATAAATTGATGCAACAGGTAAAGAAGGACTTAGAATCATGGGGTAAATTGCAACTTTCATTATTAGGCAGGATTGCTACCATTAAAATGAATATTCTTCCTAAATTTCTATACCTATTTCAGACGATCCCAATTAAACTACACAAATTTTTTTTTGAAGAACTCAACAAAATAACTCTAAAATTCATTTGGCAAGGGAAAAAACCTAGAATAAATTTAAAAGCAATGCAGGATATGAAGAGCAGAGGAGGACTGGCACTTCCAAATTGGGAACTGTATTATACTGCTGCCTCGTTAGCATGGTTGAAGGAATGGGTGAATTTAACTAACAAGAGAATATTATTTTTAGAAGGCCATGATTTGCAAAGGGGGTGGCACGCTTTTCTATGGGATGTAGGGAAAACTAGTCAAAAATATTTCCATAGACATCTAATCAGAGACTCATTATTAACTATTTGGAAGAAAATACGGAAAAAACACTATATAAAAGTACCAATCTGGATTTCAACAATGGAGGTGATGATTCACCCAAACAATTTGGATATCACCAAAATGATTAAGTATAAGGACCTATTGGACACACAAGGAAATTTTAAATTGAGGCAAGAACTTCAAGAGCAAGGACAAAAAATTGATCAGTGGGCATACCTTCAAATTCAAAGTAGATACAAACAGGATAACAAAGAATTCAGAATCAACAACAAGCTCCAGCAATTAGATAAAAATTTATTAGGATCAGTCAAAAAAAATATAACAAAATTTTATAATTATTTATTAGAAGTTGAATTAGAAGAAGAAATTGTAAAAGGGAACATGATTGCCTGGAGTAGGAATGTAGGACGCAGCATCACCTTAACGGAATGGGAAAAGGTCTGGGGTAGAAACAATAAGATCACAAAATTAGTAGCATATAAGGAAAATGCCTATAAAATGTTTTATAGATGGCATCTCCCTCCCTCGAGGTTAGCGAAGATGCACCCCAAAATGAGTCCAATTTGCTGGAAATGCAGAAAAAAAGAAGGAACCTTTTTCCATATGTGGTGGTCATGTATAGAAGCCCAAAGTTATTGGAAGAAAATCAAAACTTGGCTGGAAGAAATGACAAAAGAGCAGATTGAATACAAACTAGAGTCCTTCTTGTTAGGGATCTTTGACAAACAAATTTCCAAAAAAGCGAAATACATAACAATACACATCTTAACAGCAGCCAGATTAGCCTTCGCCCAATGTTGGAAGCAGCATCAGGCCCCATCAGACGAAATGATCATCCAAAAAATCTCAAGCCGTGCAGAAATGGACAAACTAACTTTGGCACTAAAAAACAAAGATACCTCAATATACTACGATAGCTGGAACTGTTGGTACAATTGGATTGACCAAAGATAGATTTTACACTATAAAGCAAAAGAGGATAGGATAAACCTATAGCAGTGATATATAGATATATGTAAAGATTAGGTGTGTGTATATGGCATAAACTAAGGGTTATGGGGGGAAAAAAGAGATCTTACAAACTGTGGAAGAATGTTTTTAATTGCTTTCTATTCTTTCTGTCTATTTTCTTTTCTTTCTTTTTTCTTTTTTTTCTCTTTCTTTTCTTTCATTTGTGTATGTGTTGTTGGTTTGTTTTAATTGTAAAATTAATAAAATTTATTTATTAAAAATTAATTAATTAAAATTCAATTATTTTAATTAATTTAAATTTTAATTAAAAATTCCATTAAAATGTAATTTAAGTAAAATTTAATTAGAATTAAAAGCAGAAGAAATAGATGAACTTTTTGCTAATTAGTAAACAAAGGTATATAGAAAATACACCTCAATATGTTTTATTAACTACCCTAACATCATGGGAGACAAACTCTGCATCATGTGGATCGAACAAGTTCCTGACCAATCTAGGTGAGAACTTTGTTATTCAAAAGGAAGAGGAGGGAAGTAGGAGGACAATGGGAGCAAAATCCTGCCTCTCTTTACCATAATCAGTATGGGATTTCTGAAACCTTGTACTTTCCAACACCTGGTGTTCTTTCTTTCTGCAGAATGTTTTAATGCCGTGGTTAGAAAACTCCATTCTCCATTCTGATCTGTCACAAAATCAGCTGGTCCATATTAGGGAAAGCCTTAAATCCTCCAGAACAAAGCGTGGGATCGGTATGTAAAATGTGGAGTTGCTTCCTAATAGGGTGTCGGAACTGGTTCTCATACCGCAGCAGCAGATTGTCGGCAGAAGGCAGACTTAAGATTGCATCTGGAAGGGGCAGATGAGATGAAAAAAACAAGATAGTGGCTCTGGCTGTGCGCTTGAATCCACACCCCTTTTTCTGTGAGGGGTGGGGCTCCAGTCATGTGATCCTGACCACCATCTTAACATTTTTAACTGTCCTATGAATCCCACTGAAGTACATTCATTTTTATATTGCGAGGAATCATTTTTTATTTATTTGTTTGTTTGTTTTGAATAGTATGGTGGCCTACAGAGGGAGCTCTTGCCTCACAATCAATAGGCTGTGAGTTGGATCCTAGGTAGTGGCAGATATTTTTCTCTCCAAGCACAAAGAGAAAATATCTGCTGCAAACTCTGCATAGGTATTAGGAAGGGCATCCAGCCAGTAAACGTTCAGCTGCATTCAGTGGCCCCACCCCAATGCAAGGGATTAAAGGCGTTAAAAGGGGGAAAAGGTCTTTGTTTATTTGTATCCCACCAGTAAATGCTCAGCTCCATCCAGTCACCCAGACTCTTCCCCGAATTAAGGAATTACAGGGTCGTAAAAAGAAAGGGTTTTTAATTGTATCCTGCCTTTATTATTTTTACAAATAACTCAAAGTGGCAAAAATATCCAGCACAGCTTCCTCCTATTTTTCCCACACAACAAGTCTGTGAGGTGGGTTGGCCTGAGGGAGAGGGACTGAAGATCACCCATATTTTTCCATGGCTGAGGCAGGACTTGAACTCACCATCCCCAGTTTTCTAGCCTGATGCCTTCAACACTAGATTATGGTTTCATGGACACACACCTGCCCTCCATCTGAAATCCAGAAGAGCATATTGTAATATGTTGGGTGAGAGGAATGGTGTGCATTGTAATTTCAAAATTAAATATGACTGCCACCTAATTTTTTTAAGCATACCTCACTCCAGATTCACAATGAATGGACTTCTCAGTTCATCTCTCTTTTTAACTCCATTTTGAGGAAGATTTCTAATTTGGATTTTCTTTTCCACTTATTCTTTTTTAATAAATATAAATGATCAATAGAAACATTTGCCAAGGTATTTAGAAAAACATGTAGGCTTTCCTACTTCCATTCACACACTCTGAAGAGACCTGAAAATTCTATAACCATGGTTAACTTGTGAGTTTTCTCTTAGCAACGTGCCCAACGGACAAAGTCATCACAAAGGAGATACTAAATGATGACCTGATGGATGAGCTTCTATTTTATACTCCGATAGAATTGAAATTGTGCTTGACTAAGGAAAACCTAATGAACAATATTAGTGCATTCTCAGACTACCCTTTCACAGATGAACAGCTGAAAGCAGTCAAGGACAAACTGGATGAGGTAATAAACATATCATTTTTTTTTAAATGGCACTCTTAACTATTTATTCTTCATCTATTTATTGTTAAGATTTAAAAGCTGCCCAACTTAAACAATGTTATTTAAAGGAAAAATTATATAAGTAAAAAAATCCAAATATAAATACAAAATATAAATATAAAAGGGCAGCCAAGCAACATGGTCATACAACCAAAAGGGTCCAATTGGCCCCTCATGAAACCAGGTCTCCAAAGTTTTCCTAAAACAAGGAGAGTTTGGACCTGCCATATATCCCCATAAGGAGGATTTTTAAAAAGGTCCTATGAGGTGAGAGGGCCTAGGAGGACTCAACCAGTCCCTTCCCAATAATCACTGATTAGAACAAGTCTCAGAGACACCACAAAAGGATGTCTTCTACTTCCAATCCCCTTAGCTAATTCCGAATAGTATTGAAGGACAGCAACAGATCAAGGAGAGCTAGGATTAACACACAACTCCCATCCCTAACTTGCCACCAAGGCTTCTTCATACTGCACCGAGATCTTGATCCTGGCTACAAAGGGTCCAGATAACCCACATCCTCCAGGCTCTCTGAAGCAGGAGGCCAATCTCCTTCTGAACAACCTTTCCTAAAACTGTCTAGATCAGCTGGATCAAAAGATGGTCTCATGAGGAAGGGATACACTACTCTCTCTCTCTCTCTCAGAACCAGTTCTGCCTTTCATTCTTGCAACAGGAGACCTGTAGTGCTTAGTGGGTCAGAAAAATGACATTAGCAGTCAAAAGTGTGATTGAAATTCCAACCTTTTTATATATGTCACAGCACATTCTAAAAGGAGCTGGGCTTCTAACTTAGCAATCATGGTTATCAACTTGACTTATTTTATGCCCATCCCATCATCCTGATGACTACTAGAAATCCTTTTGCAGAAACCTTTTCATTAGGCCATATCAGAACCAGCTCCTGGATAAATGTTTGCATCAAAAAGGTAATACCAAGTTAACTTGCATTTTTACGCAGTTATTTGCTCCTTGCAGATATTTCCTGAGGGATATCCTCCTGCTGTATTCAGTAATCTTGGACTCATTGAAAAACTAATAGATGAAAAGAAGATCAAGCAGTGGACTATCAATTCAACAAGCACAGTTCATGCTTTATTGGATTCTGTGTCTGATGATAAGCTGGTAATTATGAAGATAATATGGGGCTTTTAATATGAACATTATCATGCACCCAGTCTATCTTTGCTTCTAAACCTAGTGCTTATAAACTAACATCATTTTTTAAAAAAAGAGAAACAGATTATAAGATCCTGGCCATTTTTCTCTCCTTGTTTCCACACATTGTGAGTTTATTATATTCTTTTTTTTAAAACAAGTTTTATTCAGTTTTTCACATGAATTACAAAACAAAAAAGCTCTTTTACATGCAAATATGACAATAGTTATATATTCATTTTTTACATTCAATCCTATCTTATCAAATTTTTATTTAATTCTATTATTACCTTTTCCATTCCAACTTTTACAGAAGAGAAGAACAAACAAATTAATCCTGGTCTCTGATATTGATCTCAATCTAAACATCCTCTCATTTCATTTCAATTATTTCAAATATATTTCTTAAACATTAATATTTCTTTTAAAAATAAGAATAACAATATGCATTCGCCTAATAAAAATTATAAATGTCCCTCCTTCCTCTTAATAATCTATATTTAACTGACTAATTTATAATTACAAATACTTTTATTGTTACCTTTTCCAAAACACTCTTTTCTCATTTAAATAGTTCTTTTATCTGTCAGATTTGCAATTTCCATAAGTTCTAAATTAGTACAAGCTTTTACACAAGAAAAAAAACATAAGTCCCCCCCACTTTTACTAATTTGAGTGTGTAACCTCAGTGGTTAAAATATACCCTAATTCCCTCATCTTAATTCCCAAAAAACATTTATTTTTAACTAATTATAATAATAGTCATTCCCTTAAAAAAAACTACATAACATTATATATCTTTTCAATCAGATTCTGCAATGTATTTTCCCCCTTTAATTTCATAGAATTTATTTATAGTTTCAGAACAAAGATAAGAAAAAAAAAAAAACAATTAATCCATTTAACTAATCCTGGTCACTGATATTAATCTCATTTTTAAATATCCTCACAGTTCATTTCAATTATTTCAATTTATTTAATAAACATTAACATTTCTTTTAAAGATAAAAATATACATTCAGCTAGTAAAGAATATCAGTGTCCATCCCTCCTTTGATCATCTATATTTCCCTATTTTCTAAATATTTTATAATTGCAAATATATTCTTATTAACCTTCATCTCCATGCAGAATTCCCTTTTTTAAATTCATTAACCATTATCTCTATGTAAACAGTTTCTTTTCATTATTTTACAATTCCCATATTTCTTTATTTCCTGCTCCTGTTTCTCATTACCTCTCTTCCCCTTCATTTTCCCATATCTTTCCCCTTCCAGTTTGTGTCCATCTCCCTCTTTGTATCTTCTTTTCCCCCTTTCTGCTGCTCCTTTCTGCCTTTCCTATTTTCACAGGTATTCCCCTTTTTAGTTACCTTCTTGAGTCTTAAATTTTTAACCTCCCTTCTTTTTCCTCTTCTTTGTGTTCTTTGTGTTAATTGTCTATTTAAGATGGCTTCTTCTTGAACTAACTCCTCCTTCTCTGAAGTTCTTTCTTCATGTTCTTCAATCACCATTTCCATAGCTTTTAAAACAGAGCCAAGTGATTTACTTCTTTCCTGTAGTAATTCTTTCATATTATTAAGTTCCATTTTTAGTTCCCGAAGAGATATCATCATTGCACACCCTTATATCTTACAATTGTTGAAATCCACAAAAACTTTTATTTTCCTTCTTCAGGCTTTCTAGATTTGCAATTATTCCAACACTGGGTCTATACCAAAATCACGAATGAGTCCCGCAGTCAATCTTTTCTTACTTCTTCTTTTATTCTAGTTCAACTTTTGCTTTCTAGGATTCTTGTTTTATTGTTTCAATATTTCTTTAACATTGTATCAACTCAAGTTCATAAAGAAACAGGATTTTCCCTTTTATTTTTAAATTTAATTTTTTGTCCACAAGATGGCACTCTCCGTTATGTAAAGTCTTCACCTTTTTCCCGTTTTATTATTCAGGGCTTTTCGAGCTTCAATATTCTAATACAATCAAATCTCCAGTTTGTATATTTGCCCCCCCACCTATTATTATTATTTTTTGACACTCTTAAGTCCAGGTTTAATTTATGCCTGTTTGTTGCCAAAATATTTTAATCCAATTTAGTTAAATATCTTATTCCGGCTTCTTCCTTTCCTGGTTTGAAGCCCCGTTTAGCTGTCAAAGTTATTTTTCTTTTTTTTTGTTCCTTTCCTTTGTATTTCCGCCGCTTTCTTTTCTTATTTAGAAATTCATTGTTACATTAAACCCGGGGTACCTTTTATTTGGTTGTTGCACCCAATTGTCCCGGCTCACATGCTATCCACCTCTTTCTTCACTCCTGCACCAACTTAGTCCAGACATTTTAGACCACTGCTTCAGTCGTCTTTGGGGGGGGGAATTGCCAAGCCCAGAGGGGGAGATGTGGCTCCCCTCAACCTGGCTGGCAGCTTCCCCTTTCTCCACCGCCCCTCCGAGGCAGCTTCAGCCCCTAATCACAATGATTGGGGCTCTCTGATGAAAGAGCATGGGCTGTAGCCACGGACGATCACGATCTATGGCCTATCAGCGAGGAGGGCTCCGGAGTTAACCAAGTGTGTTATATTCTTGTCGTTTTACTTTAGGTGTCCTAGAATTTTCTAGGAAATGGACTAGTGTTCTTTTAGAAGAATACCGGGAGCCACAAAAGCTGGGTGGGCATGGCCAACTCAATGTCACTCACTCTCACCCAGTCACATGACCCCCTAGCTATGCCTACCCAGCCACAAAACCCTTCTCTCTCTCTCTCCCCCTCTCCCAGAGAAAGGGGGAGAGGGGGAGAGAGAGGGAGAGCGCGA